ATTGATGTAAGTAGACAAAAAAAAATGTTAAAACCTTATACTATATTCCCATAAAGCGTCTTTTATTAGCTTTTCTTTTATAACTCTTCTATGGACAATCTATTTTTAAAGACCAGCAGTAATCTGACATCATGTGACAATTCCAGCTACCCTGATACCGATCTTCCATCACTTTTGGATCCTGGTGGAACCGCTCTCCTTGTTCTTCACTATAATCACTAGAATCTGAAAATTTGTCAGTATATTTTGCCCAATTTATTCAGAATTTGGTGCTTTATGATCACCTAGGAAATTTTCGACTACCAATACAAAACTTTCCCAAGGATTACTTTCCGGAACAGTCATAACTTTGATAAAATCTGAGTCTTTCATCATTTGCCGTATTTGAGAACCATCAAATATTCCACCTTTCAACTTTTCCATACTAAGCTTAGGAAATTTTCTACAAATGCAATTAAAACAGTTTCCGTCCTTGTCTAATGCTTTTACAAGTTGCTTGCTCATTCCTAACTTAACATGTAATGGTGGGAGTATGATTTTGTCTCTGCTTACCAATGGCTCTCTTATTACATTGATGATATTGCTTTCTTCTGCTGTCCCACAAACAAATAAAGCACGAGTATTTCGGTATTTCGTGTATCCACTCTGTTGACCGAGTAAATAATTAACCATTTTCAAATCTACATAAATCGGCCATTGATGTTACGAGTATTTAATTTTTTCTAAAACTAATTTTACATTTTCATACTCCTCTTTGAGTTTGGTTGAATGGAGAATTGGAATAGATGCAAATTTATTACCATTGTGCAGTAAAACGCATTTCAAACTTCTTTTAGAAATGTCAATGAAAAGTCGCCACTCAGTAGGTTTGTATGCTGTTAAATCCATGTCTAAAAGTAGCTTGGCGGTATCATTTACAGTACACCAGACCTTCATCTTCACTAAAAAATTCGAATAACTCTTTTTCTCGTGTCCTTTAGGTCCTAATTGTCACTGGTGGGGCCAATAATTTTTTTTCTTTCGATCTTGAGGCTAATAATTCTGATCCTTGTTTTGATAAATAGAGATCACGTATTAAGTCACTGAGTTCATTTTGAGGCGGAGATGTTTCACCTTCCCATTCACTTCCACTTGTTGACTGTCCCGATTTCTGTGAATTTGGTAACATCCTTGTTTCTGAGGCATTCGAATAACTTTTGAAACTTAAATAGGTCGAGGAAGATTTTCACTGTGTAGTATAGGACATTTTGTAGACTGTAAATCTGGATAGGTTTGATTGCGATTGAAGCCTTTAGCATCTACAACGCAAAAGATTTGTAGGCTCCATCTAGATCATCAGAATACCAAAGTTTAATCCAGAACAGCCTCCTTTTTTCCATAACCGTAAAGACTCAACGCATAACTTACAAACTTTACCAGAAACCCATCGTTTTTCTAGTTTGTCCATTTTAAAACCCAACTATTCAGTGTAAGCCTCCTTAACAAAGTCTGTACTGTTTCGTTGTTGTTTTTTTGTTAAATAAACACCGCAAATATAACAAAACAAATCAGTACTATATTTACACTTTCTTCTTGACGAACTCCTATTTTAAAAGACAAAAAAATATATATTTAAATATATAGTTAGTAATTGAAACGAAATATTAACTCATAAGAACTTATTTAGATTCACGTCTAGGTACTTGGTATTGTCGAATAACTGAGATCTCAGCTGTTCTGCGGAGCAAAGAGTGGGGATCGCTAAGAGTAGGGATTACGTGATGTTTGTATATATATATATATATATATATATATATATATATATATATATATATATATATATATATATATATATATATATATATATATATATATATATATATATATATATATATATATATATATATATATATATATATATATATATATGACACTATATTCCGGGATATCATCCGTTCGCTTGTTGAACTCCGACTGGAATCCTGCAGACGTTTCGCCAAAATTTCACTTGGCATCTTCAATGCTCGCGCTCCGAAAACACTTCGAACACTTTTCGTAGAGCTGTGGTATTAATAAAACTTGACTCGTTGTGAATTTCATTCTATTCCCTTGACGAGCTACCATTCAGAACGTATATATATATATATATATATATATATATATATATATATATATATATATATATATATATATATATATATATATATATATATATATATATATATATATATATATATATATATATATATATATATATATATATATATATATATATATATATATATATATATATTTATATATATATATATATATATTTATATATATTTATATATATATATATTTATATATATATATATATATATATATATATATATATATATATATATATATATATATATATATATATATATATATACATGATGACACTATAGTCTGGGATATCATCCGTTCGCTCGTTGAACTCCGACTGGAATCCTGCAGACGTTTCGCCAAAATCTCACTTGGCATCTTCAATGCTCGCGCTCCGAAAACACTTCGAACAACTGGACTGCAGGATTCCAGTCGGATGCAGGATTCCAGTCGGAGTTCAACAAGCGAACGGATGATATCCCGGAATATAGTGTCATCACATTTTTCCATCCGTGAATCAACACGTGAAAATGTTTTCGGAGCGCGAGCATTGAAGATGCCAAGTGAGATTTTGGCGAAACGTCTGCAGGGTTCCAATCGGAGTTCAACAAGCGAACGGATAATATCCCGGAATATAGTGTCGTCATATATATAATATCTAATTGGTAAACCTTGATTTTCTGTAAGTAAAAAAGTTATTAAAAAACAATTGCTTAATTAGTTAGCAATTTAGTAATGACATAAATTAAAGATTATCAGAGAAATATATATATATATATATATATATATATATATATATATATATATATATATATATATATATATATATATATATATATATATATATATATATATATATATATATATATATATATATGACACTATATTCCGGGATATCATCCGTTCGCTTGTTGAACTCCGACTGGAATCCTGCAGACGTTTCGCCAAAATTTCACTTGGCATCTTCAATGCTCGCGCTCCGAAAACACTTCGAACACTTTTCGTAGAGCTGTGGTATTAATAAAACTTGACTCGTTGTGAATTTCATTCTATTCCCTTGACGAGCTACCATTCAGAACGTTCACGGACGTTTATAACAAATTGTGTGTTTGAGAAATAATATTCGTTAGATTTTCTAGTTCAATGTTAATCACCGGGGTATCGGTGCAGTTCTCGAATGCAAGGTCAAGTTGCAGCAAATCTACACACCAGTTTTGATGCCAAGCGTTTGTCGTGGTAATTAGAGATTCGTTTTTAGTATTTTCATTTATGACCGAATAACAAACGATCTTCCATGCAGAGGTTGATATAATGATCTATGATACCACAGTTTAACTAAAAATGAAATGTAGTTTGCGCCATTGGCAAAGACAATTATTTTGTGTCAAAAATTAATCCCGAGCCTCTTTTGTAGTGTTAGTAGATGATACAGTAAGACCAGCGGAGATTTTTTTATGTGGCATTATATGCCATCTTGACATTTTATACCACACATTTGCTATTTTTCTACAAGTTGATCGTTATAATATTTTTTAAATTTGTCCCTTAAACTTAAGATGCACCTGTCAAATTATATGACTTGATTTCAATAACACTTCCTATTATTTAAAACCCATTTAAAATAAACAGCGTTCTATTTGATGCAAGATCTTAGTTAAATATTTAGGGAAATATTAATCGCTTTTAATAATTTAAACAGATCTCAATTTCCGTTACAAATGTTCATGTTTCATGAGAGAGAGGAGTAGCTGGGCTCAGGTTTTTATTTAGAGACAAGCAGAGATCATATTACCATAGAATATCATTCGATTTTCACCGCTAAGGGTACTCGCCCAATATGGTATACTTCGACCAGAAATATAGTGCTTTTGCAACCGACCTAGTGATTAACTTTGCCTACTGTTTATTGCTCCAGCAGCCCCTTATGGAACACCCTGCTCAGCAGACCCTTACCCATAACCATTCCAGTAATTTATCCACCAACACTAACAAGCAGGATTTCGTGTAGCTTTCTCCAAAATATAAATTATTTCAATACAAATTCTTTAATTTATCCTTCATTTGGAGAAGTATTTCGAATTTTTCTAATTTGGGCTGAATGGCACAAGGCATTATCCAACATAATAATAGTACTTGAAGATAGTTTTAGTAACAGTTTATATGTTTTTATGGTATCCACACTTGAATCTTTGACGTTTTTTGGCACACAAAAATAAGGCATCTTCCACCCAACCATTTTTGGACCTAGCATGAAGAATTATTATGCGTCTAGTACACACTTGTTACTGTCATCCTTTTTTTGTGTCGTGAGTGTCGAACCACGTTTTGTCTAAATACACTGTGGACCTCTTCAATTGCATTTAAATAATCCACCCTTTATTGCGAAATTCTTTGAGATTCCATTAGCAATTGACGTTTATTAATTGTTTGGAACTGAAAATTCATTTTCTTCAAAAAAGTACGCAACTACTCTTTGGCACAACTAATGTTTAAGGCTGTCAGTACTTTTTAATGTAGTTCTTCTAGGATTAAAACACTACTCACTTAATAAGCGTCGTAGATTATACGCCTAATTGAATCTGCTTGTTGCTCTTTAAAAACTCGAGAAATATCAGCATCTTCTCGCATTTTCCTCTTGACTATCCCATTTGCAACAATTTTTCTTACAGTTAACTTTGAAACATTGGTCTTGTCACTTATTTTTATTGGTGCTCCTACTTGCCGTTATAAATTTCTTATAAAATTGTTTTCTTTTAATAGGGGAACATCTACTTCATTCCACAGTCTTCACATTTTAAAGTGTTAAAAAACAGGAAAATAAGTTGACTTCCAAAAGAACACATAATCCAATTGTTTCCCTGTAAATGGAGAAAAAGTAAGGTCGAGCTTACCTCATAGAGCATGAACAAACTGAACAGAACTTGAGCACCGTTGTAAACGATCATGACCTCTTTCAATTTGAAAGGTTTCCGATTCATCATCACTCGTGGCGCGAAGAACAGAATGACGTAGAGATACGTGAGTACCATCAGCAGCGTCGGTATGGGGCTATCCATCAAAGGCCAGTGCGCGGTTCTGGGATCTGAAAATAGGTTTGGTTAGTTATCTCCTACTCCATATCACTGTACACTATTTTGTGTTTGAGTACTGATTCAAATGTTACCTTGCCAGTTTCAATTTTTCACAGATGCACAGGGTGTCTCAAAAACATGGAGATTTAAAGATGGCAACGTCATTTATTATTACTAATGGTTAATTAGTGCATAAAGATTTAACGGGATCTGGGCATATTTTGAAAAAATACTGCTCATAAAACTGCCGCCTCCGATCTAATTGACGATCTGTCACCGGTCATGTTGGTTGTTGAATGCGGCAAGGACAAAAAGGTTAGAAACGAAATTTCAAATCTCGGGCGTGCGCATGTTTAATGGACCTCCTCAAATAACACCCGTAGTTTCAACCCGAAAAGAGATCTATAAAAAAATAAATAAAATGATATCAAACTGTAAGATTTGACATTTAGTAAAAAATTTTATGTATTGGACCATCTAAATTATTTTTTTTTTGCGAGAGAACATAATTTTGTGTGCACGTAACAAGATTCCCATTTACGGGGTGTGCAAATTAAACTTGCCAACTAATTTTTCTTAATGTAGGTACTAAATCCGATAATACTTCATTACTTTTTTTTTAATACTTATATTTGGGAAAAAGCGATTGAACTTTTGCCCTTTTTGTAGTTGCAACCAGCAAAAGAGATATATTTAAAAAAATCAAAACAAAATCAAACTGAAAAATGCGACGTTTAGTAAAAATTGACAATATAAATTCGTTTTTTTTTTATAGAACATAATTTTTCTTTGCCTCGCCTTTAAAAATAAGCGTTGAAAACTGGCCAGCTTGTACAAATTAAACGTTCCAACTATTTTTTTTTAGGTTTTCGCCACTTTGGCATAATAATAAAAATAAGCGTTGAAAACAAGCGAGCGTGTACAAATTAAACCTCCAGAACTATTTTTTCTTACTGTATATTACTTCGTAACCCTAATATTTCAGCTTTTTTAATACTTTTCTTGGAAAAAAAGATATGAACTTTTTCTTTTTTTTTTTTTTGGATAACAATCTGAAGTTGCAGCCAGGAAAAGAGAAGTATAAAAAAAAGAAAGACAAAATCAAACTGTAATATTGTAAATTCTTTTTTTTTGCGAGAAAATACAACTTTTGCATCGCATTTAAAAATAAGCGTTGAAAACTGGCCAGCTTGTACAAATTAAACTTTCTAACTAGTTTTTTCTTACTGTATATACTAAAACCCAAGATACTTCGTAATTTCATTAGTTCAGGTTTTTTTAATACTTTACTCGGATGAAAAGCTTTGGCACTTTTTTCTTTTTTGTTTTGATAACACCCTGCAGTTTTTTTATGGATAACCCCCCGTAGTTGCAGCCAGGAAAAGAGAAGTATAAACAAAAAAAGACAAAATCAGACTGTAATATTTGACATTTAGTAAAAAATTTCGCTTTTTGTGACAATGTAATTTTTTTTTGCGAGAAAATACAACTTTGTTCTACGCCACAGAAACAGATTCCCATGTACGGGGTGTTCGGATTTCGGCATCCTTAAATCGCATTTAAAAATAAGAGTTGAACACTAGCCAGTCTGTACAAATTAAACGTTCTCACTATTTTTTTTTTGCTTACTGTATATACCAAAACCGATATTACTTCATTTCGCGACATCGTTAAGAACATTTTTCGGGTGAATTCCGATGGAGAGCGCTTTATTAATTGCTGCTCAAACAATCGCAATTATCGACGCGCTTGCCGCATAATACGAGACCGTGATTTTCAAACGCAGAACTGGTTCCTAGCACCTTGGCAAACGAAAATCCAGTCGGCATTGAACCGAAATTTCGATAATTTCGGGTATACGCTCGTCATCGATAATTCGCCACATGGACAAAATTTAAAACTTTCAGACGGCATCAAATATTCATGTTCTTCGTGCCTCTTATCTATTTTTAAAACTAAAATTTTGGCCAGGTGTGTTTTATCTTCAAATCCCCGAACCGGCGGACGTTTTAATTAATTGACCGTCGGAGATGAACTTCCCGCTGACGTCAGAATGACGTTGCATACTTAAAACAAGGTTTAACAAGATTATCGTTTTTTTTTAACGATAAAAACACACGCAGTCGTTAAAAAATTCAACTTGCCGACGTTTCGCCGATCATCCTGTTGGCTTCTTCAGAGCTTAACCAAACTGTTTCATTAAAACTAGCGTTACTTTTATTTACTGTTGTTGTTAAAAGTGAGAAGGGTAGTAATAGGGGTTGTTTTAGCTACCACACTCGCTAATGGCACATAATTACGATAGAAAATTGTATTTTATTATTTGTCAATTTTTCAACTTGTTGCCTAGGGATACTTTCTCACATCATTTCCTTCGTCTATCCTTCTTGGAACCAAGTAGTTATGATATATTCTAAGATATTTTGACAGTGACAAGTTGTGTATGTTAAATTCGTGTTAAATTTGATTTTATCTTTATTTTTCTACTCCCGTCTGTAAAATACCTAATTACCCACCGATCTAGCGTGCGGGAAGCGTCACTTTACCAAGTCAGTTTCGTTTCCCATGAATCCCAGCCACTTCGGATTTCCGGGACTTTACCGCACGGATTTGGAAGCAATCGGATGTTTCGGAGATATTTCCCACGTTTTGAATTTTGACGTTGACGTGTGTACGGCCAAAGTTCTCCTTAGTTATCTGTAGTAAAAAAATGGGCAAAATGTTTTCGAATGGGACAGGAGTCCTTTGAAGATGATTCAAGAACTGGTCGACCAGTGGAGGTTATAACGGAAGATATTGTTGCTATTGTGGAAGAGGTGGTATTGAGTGATCGACGTTTAGAGGTCAAAGAAATCTCAAAAATTACTAAGCTTGCTGATACAAGTGTTCGTCGAATCCTGCATGACCATTTAGGTATGCATAAGGTTAGTGCAAGATGGGTTCCTAAAAACCTTTCGGCTATTCAAAAACAACGCCGTGTCGAGTGTGCGCGGTCTTTTTTGGAACTCTGTGGGTCGGAACCGAAGCCTGTGATGGAAACTATTGTGACGAGAGATGAAACTATGGTTCTCTATTATGACCCTCTTTCGAAAAAAGAATCAATGGAGTGGCGTCGTAAGGGTGAAGCACCTCCAAGAAAATTCAGTGAGTGTCTGCCAATCAACAAAAAAGGTGATGGCCACGATCTTTTGGGATTGTGAAGGAATTCTTTTGATAGATTTTAAAGAAGCTAATACCTGTGTCAATGGTAAATATTACGCAACATTATTACATAAATTGTGAGACTGCAAACTGACCACAGGCGTGCGTCTTTTGCACGATAATGCACCTGTCCATACTGCTGCATCCTCCCTATAGCCCAGATATGGTCCCCAGCGAGTATTATTTGTTTGGATATTTGAAGAAGGACTTACGTGGACGGCGGTTTAACGACGAAGTTGAGTTAAAAGAGCCTGTTTTAGTTCATTTTGCAGACAAACCAAAAGAATATTTTTTAATAATTTTTTTGATGTAATTATATTGAAAAATAATAAAAAATTGTTACTGTGCAAGTCGTTGAATTTGTAATAAAATATCTCAAAATTTTCCAATTTTGTAAACGGCATATAAATAAGTTTAAAAAAACTCAATTTTCTCCTGATTTTCCACGCCAAGGATCCCACTATATATATATATATATATATATATATATATATATATATATATATATATATATATATATATATATATATATATATATATATATATATATACGTAGTTTTTCTATTACGCCATTTCCTACCAGTTTAAATCAATCAATTCAATTTTTTTTCTCTTTTCTGACGTATTAGAAATATTATTCAGAGACATATTAAAAAAAAAAACATTTGTTATGCAGATAACGTCAGAGCTGGGATAACTGGAAAATGAACGAGCAATTTATTATATTTTCGACACTTTTGGGATTCACGGCCGTAAACGGAAATGAGAAGATAAACGAGCCATAAAACTGGCGATTAAATTTGCATAACTTATTCCATCAAGTAGTTTTAGGCAAAAAATAAAACTGTTTGCTATTAGAATCATATAAAATTTATCCCACGCGGACTTTCAGTTGACGTGCGCCAAAACATCGAAAATACTTACCACTTATTTTGTCTAAAGCCGTGTGATATATGTCGACGTATCTGTCGGCCACTATCCTGAAGATGAAAGGGAGGTCCTGAAAGAACGAAACGGATTGTTTAGAATTTTAAAATTACGAAATTTGCCTAATTAAACAGTTTAATTTATTCGGATTTTAATTTATTTTCCTTTGCTCACACTTATTTCCTTTACAGAAGTGTTATCAAAAGGTTACTATCGGCGTTGTAAATATTTTGGCGCGTGTTATGCCGATGTTTACCAACACCTCCAAGGTCCAAAATATGTGAATGAGACGTAATTAAATGTTGCTCATCAAAAAATCAGATGTTCAATTAGCTTTAATTAGTTCATTAAGAGTTTTTATTGATACATACGTCAGATTTTTTTTAAATAATAATAATTGCTTTTCCTGTGAAACCATTTCAAAGGAAATTTTCCTAAATTCATATTCATATCCAAAACAAATTATTCCCGTTTAGAATTCCGTCGGATATTGTCAAAATTAAAACAGAAATAAATTACCCCTTCGTGGGATAAAATAAGTTTTAAAATAAGTAAAAAAATGAGTTTTATAAACAGTCAATTAAATATAATAACTTCATCAAAAACTAATACGCCATTTTTTCTATATCTTTCTGAAAAACAGTGTTCGCCACTTAATTATAGGATAAAATAGGTATAAGTTCAAATAAACGATATTGTCTAACGATTATTGTTCTTCCATGTGAGATTAAAGATTACATTGCGTATGATACTATTTCATAATTGTCACATCTACCCTCTGTATTTTTTGGGCCTTAAATTTTGCCGCCTTTTTGTAAATTGATTTTTTTTTGTTTATTATGGACTTGTTGAGTATTGGAAATAAAGACCTTTAATACTGTTATTTTGATTATTATATTAAATTATTATCACAGTTAAAAACTAATTTTTAGCTATTAAGGGCACCAACTATCTCCAACTATCTTTTAGCATATATTTAAATTTATGACTATAAAGTTTTATAGAGATGATTCGGAATTTTCTTATCAAAATTAGGTCTAACTACTAACAGATATAACTACTTCTCGAACTCTTAGGGTTTGTATAGTTGTAGAGTTAGAGATTTTTTTAAATTTATTCACTAGTCCCACCAGTGAATTCAATTATTTAATGCTTGCAAATGGGCAAATTAATTTTGATAAAAAAATACAAAATATCTCCTCAAATCTATCGGTGGTTTTTGCCTATAGCTAAGGAGCTTCCTTCTAATCGAAATGCACTAAATTAATTTTTAAAAAGTTTACCTCGTTGTTTGGTTTAATGGTCAGTATAATGTTAAAGTCTACAATTTATTGCAATTCAAATTTTTTACAAGACGATTCTCAAATTTAGTGATGTTTTAAAAAATCTATGTCCTCTCAATTAATTAGAGGACAATTTATTCTTGAATATACTTTAGGTTTCATTATGATAGCACACTTTTGATTTTGGAGGTTCAATTTTATTTCGCAATCCTGATAAAATACGTCGACAGTATCGTCCGATCTACTGACGGAATAAGAATAATTATATAATAATATAAACAGGGTATAATCAGAAACTTTTCAGAAGAAATAAGGAAAAATGAAAACTTCAAATAACCATTCAAAAACATCTAGTAAGGTTGTTGTTATATCTATCGGTTTTTTTTTCAAATTAATGCAAATGGGAGTAATTTGGATTTATATATTAAAAAATATATTAAAAAGGAATTTTGTAAAATGAATGGGAAATCAAAATGTTTGAACGTTAGAGATCAGTGGCGTTGCAATGAAAAAATTGGACATAAATTGAAAATAAGTACAGGAAATCTACTACCTAATTTGCATGCTGAAAAATGATATTTTGAAGAAGAAGAATAATACGAGACGATCTGATATATTACGCGAGCACACGAAATTCACTCTTGACCCCTTTCAACCGGCCGACGGCTGTAATTAAGTAAATAATCAACTGGTTTTCTTCCAAGGTCGCCGTAGTTCAAATTATCGCCGGTTCGACCAAAATTACGCAAAAATCTTAAGTGCCCCCGTAATGGCCGAAATTAAACAAAACGCTTCTCCGTCGCATTGGCCGAATACGCCGGACCATTACTTTAGAGGTCTTTGAATTCCGTAGCGCACGTTCAAATGATAATCGATTAATTGTTTGGCTATTTAAAATGCCGACATTAACTAATTAACATACAAAAATAATATTTCGAAAATACGAATCTCTGGAATCGCTGACTAATATTTTCGATACGATGTTTCGCATTAATTGCAAACAAAAGGTCATGGAAAATTACAAAAATGCAGACAAAAATGTTTTTTGTTGTCAAAGCATGACTTTGTGATTTATTTATTTATTTACAAGAGAGGCTGCCTAACGGGTATGCGTTATAGAATATTCAAGTATAAGCCAGTACCATAAATAATAATAATTAGAGTAAAACATTGACTGGACTAAAATGAATTAATAATTATCAAATCGTCTTTTCAACTAACCAAAACTGATTAACACTCTGAACTCTACTTACCCTATATTAAAGACCGATCTCAAAATTTTTCAGCAATGAAAAACATGGAAGAACCTAGCAAGAAACTTTGGAAACATCCCTCTAACCGACTTGGCACGAAAAATGCGTCGAATCGATTAATCACCGCCATAGAACTAAAAGTAACGTGAAACCCAATTGAACAGATTGGTGGGCAAATGTCAAATGCATTCTTAACCTCACTTTTTAGTTCATTTTTTCGTGAAAGAATCGTGTTTAGTGTTCTACAATCCTGTAGATAAAGAATTGGACTGAATACGCATTTTATAAGGTTGTTCGGAAAGTCATTTCGTTTTTTCCCGTCAGAGGACTTAATTACGTTTTTTCGAAACCAACTTCACACTTAAGCCGCATAACCATTATATGTCTTGAGAGCTGATATTGCAAGGCTTGTGTGTGAAAAAGTTCTATTAATTCTACGCAGTAGTTTTTGGTTGGTGCCCTTTTAAATATGGAGAGCAATAAGCAGCATTTTCGTCATATTTTACTTTTTTACTTCAGAAAAGGTAAAAATGCTGTCCAAGCGAGAAAAAAATTGACGGATGTGTATGGAGAAGGCGTGTTAACAGTACGCCAGTGCCAGAACTGGTTTGCAAAATTTCGATCCGGAAATTTTGATGTCGAAGATGCACCACGGTCTGGAAGGCCGGTCGAAGCTGACAAAGACGCGATAAAGGCATTAGTTGATGCAAATCGGCGAATAACCACACGAGAGATCGGTGAGAGATTAAATTTGTCGAATTAGACTGTTTATGGCCATTTGAAAGGCATGGGCTTAACCTCGAAGCTCGATGTGTGGGTGCCCCATGTCCTTACGGAGCGAAATTTGTGTCGTCGCGTTGACGTGTGTGATTCGCTCCTCAAACGTCAAGAAAATGATCCATTTTTGAAGCGGATTATTACTGGGGACGAAAAATGGGTTGTATACAACAATGTTAAACGCAAGAGGTCATGGAGCAGAAAAGATGAACCGGCTCAAAGCGTGTCAAAGGCCAACATTCACCAAAAAAAGGTGATGCTCTCCGTTTGGTGGGATGTCAAAGGAATCGTTTTTTTTTTGAGCTTTTGCCGGACAATACAACGATTAATTCAGAAGTCTATTGTCATCAACTGGACAAATTGAATGATTCACTTAAAGAGAAGAGGCCCGAATTAATCAACAGGAAGGGTGTTGTGTTCCACCAGGATAATGCGTTTGGTCACTCGCCAAAAACTTTTACAGCTTGAATGGGACGTACTGCAACATCCACCATATTCTCCAGATCTGGCGCCTTCCGACTACTATTTGTTCCGGTCCCTGCAAAATTTTTTGGATGGCAAAACCTTTACCTCAAATGAAGATGTCAAAAACCACCTGAACCAGTTTTTTGCCAGCAAGGACCAAAACTTTTACGAGAGGGGAATTATGTTACTGCCAGAAAGATGGCAAAAGGTGTTGGACCAGAATGGCCAATATATAATTTAATAAAATATTTATTCATTATACGAAAACTGTCTTTCATGTTCCCCAAAAAAAACGAAATGACTTTCCGAACAACCCAATAAAACTGTGCAAATGAAACATGTTAAGCGCTTTGGAGTGCAAGTTTGATAGAAGCTGTAGAATATTTATGATTTATAAGGATTTTATGGAGTGAGTCCAGTACCAATTTTGCAGTATGATTTTTAGGAACCTTTTTTAAAAACCTAAAGTATCCAACACCAAATGTTTTATAAATAAAGTAATGGAAACGATTTGAATGTTCGAAGCTTGTAACACCTCTGGATTTCTCTTTAAACTATTAATAAAGCTAAGGTTTCTTATAAATCAAAGGATAAAACCTTAAATGTTAGTTAGATGGTTGTGGTCTATAAATTTAAAAAAATTCGTAAGTTTATGAACAAATAAAAGTTGAAAAAACATCCGGGCAAATAACACAGCAGAACTGTAACCATAGATTTGCAACAAACTTGGGTTCGCAGACATAAAATTGTATTCACCAACTTTGAGACCTTTCTGGATTCAATGTAACTCTTTATAGCCTGTGTTTTAGATACTCCGCCATTTCACGCCAGTTTCATGTTTTCCTATTTTTTTAATTATCTTATTTTTGTTCATACTTGCAGGTTAAAATAACACTACATATATTTCATTTAAGTAAACTTTTTGGAATCAGTTTACCAGCTAAAGTTTTAAGCATACGATGGTTTGTGATCTGGGTGCCATAATAATTTAGTGTGGACCATTTTGTTATTTGAATTATCCGTCAATCTATACATCTTAACAAAGAAGATGAATCTTCTACGATATTAATGCTCGCAATCTTTGGTGAATTTTAGGATACAGGAGAATATATTTTTTGAATTTTCCTGTACGCTACTTTTAGCATTATGTATCGAATTTTGTAGTAAACTTAATGAGAGAAATATTTACTATTAGAGAAAAAAAAAGTGAACTCCCTACTATTTTTAGCTAACTTTCCGGTCGTCCTTTATATGAACTAGTCCGCTGAAGTAAACATTTTTTTGTTTAAATAAAC